CTGCTGGACTATGGTCGTATGAACTCTACCATTTACCGGTACTCTAGGTGCCGGTTCTAATCCATTTGTTGACAGCCGTTGAACCGGCGAAGTCAGGCTATCCCCCAGAGAATTCACGTAGTTTATACTGCCGGCCTCTGGGCACGCAGCAGTCCCCTTCGCCGTCGGGGCAATGTCACCGTCCCGCGAGCTTATCTCGTCAGAACAGTCTGTGGCGAAAACGTTATATCGGTTATGGTGTGTCATCATAAAAGGGGTTGGTTTTGGACTTTGAGCAGTGCCGTGCTTGCATTTGTATTGGTATGAATTGATAGTGGGGGAGCCCACTAGATGCTTTGTTGCTTGTTCATCAGTCTTTGCATAATTTTACAAGTTTTATTACAGTTTCTGATGTCTGATTTGTTACTTAGGTGTAGATTGATAGTTTGTAAGTGTGGGGTTGTAGCAGGTTCTCTCAGGATTGTGAGGGTTGCTTTAGACATCTGTTACAATCTCTTTCTTAGTCCTTGTTTAAAATTGGAGTAAGTAATCTTAAGCAAGCACTATAGTGATGATGTGTAAGTAATGAGGTTGTAGTGATGTTAGTAGTCTTTTCTAGAAGTGCAAGGAGTGTTTCAAACATCTGTTACAGTCCCTTAGGAGTGCAAGGGATGCTTTCAACACTTGTTACAGTCCTTTCTTAGCCCCTACTCAAGATTGTATGCCCAATCCCAAGCAAGTACTCAGATTGAAAGCTTGTAAGTAGTGAGGTTGTAGTGATGTTAGTAGTCTTTTCTAGAAGTGCAAGGAGTGCTTCAAACATCTGTTACAGTCCCTTAGGAGTGCAAGGGATGCTTTCAACACTTGTTACAATCCTTTCTTAGCCCCTACTCAAGATTGTATGCCCAATCCCAAGCAAGTACTCAGATTGAAAGCTTGTAAGTAATGAGGTTGTAGTGATGCTTAGTCTTCCTTTCTAGGAGTGCAAGGAGTGCTTCAAACATCTGTTACAGTCCCTTAGGAGTGCAAGGGATGCTTTCAACACTTGTTACAATCCTTTCTTAGCCCCTACTCAAGATTGTATGCCCAATCCCAAGCAAGTACTCAGATTGAAAGCTTGTAAGTAATGAGGTTGTAGTGATGCTTAGTCATCCTTTCTAGGAGTGCAAGGAGTGCTTCAAACATCTGTTACAGTCCCTTAGGAGTGCAAGGGATGCTTTCAACACTTGTTACAATCCTTTCTTAGCCCCTACTCAAGATTGTATGCCCAATCCCAAGCAAGTACTCAGATTGAAAGCTTGTAAGTAATGAGGTTGTAGTGATGCTTAGTCTTCCTTTCTAGGAGTGCAAGGAGTGCTTCAAACATCTGTTACAGTCCCTTAGGAGTGCAAGGGATGCTTTCAACACTTGTTACAATCCTTTCTTAGCCCCTACTCAAGATTGTATGCCCAATCCCAAGCAAGTACTCAGATTGAAAGCTTGTAAGTAATGAGGTTGTAGTGATGCTTAGTCATCCTTTCTAGGAGTGCAAGGAGTGCTTCAAACATCTGTTACAGTCCCTTAGGAGTGCAAGGGATGCTTTCAACACTTGTTACAATCCTTTCTTAGCCCCTACTCAAGATTGTATGCCCAATCCCAAGCAAGTACTCAGATTGAAAGCTTGTAAGTAATGAGGTTGTAGTGATGTTAGTAGTCTTTTCTAGAAGTGCAAGGAGTGCTTCAAACATCTGTTACAGTCCCTTAGGAGTGCAAGGGATGCTTTCAACACTTGTTACAATCCTTTCTTAGCCCCTACTCAAGATTGTATGCCCAATCCCAAGCAAGTACTCAGATTGAAAGCTTGTAAGTAATGAGGTTGTAGTGATGTTAGTAGTCTTTTCTAGAAGTGCAAGGAGTGCTTCAAACATCTGTTACAGTCCCTTAGGAGTGCAAGGGATGCTTTCAACACTTGTTACAATCCTTTCTCAGCCCCTACTCAAGATTGTAGTACCCAATCTTAAGCAAGTACTTAGAGTGAAAGTTTATAAGTAAGGAGATTGTAGTTATACTAGTGATCCTTTCTAGGAGTGTAAGGAGTGCTTTTACACACTTGTTACAAACCTTTCTTAGCCTCTACCCAAGATTGTAGTACCCAATCCCAAGCAAGTCTTAGAATGAAAGTGTATAAGTAAGGAGGTTGTAGTAAGGTAAGGAGGTTGTAGTAAGGTAAGGAAGTTGTAGTGATGTTATTAGTATGATTGTTAGTGAGGTGTTAGTGTTTTTGTATTGACAGTAAGTCTTCATTGAACGGATCTCGCCCGTTCTTTGAAGTCTTACTATCAGGATGTTGTTTATCTTTTGTGGCTTTTCTTATCGGGCTACCTCGAGCATTTCCAAGTTTCCTCGGACCTGCCCTAAACTGCCCACGTGACAAAAAACTTACCGCTGGGTTGTCTAAAGAAGACGGGGTCTTTCACGCTCGCATTTTAGAAAAGAAGAAAAAAGCAATGCAATCGTTCGAGACCGTACAGTACTACAAGCATATGATCTAATGAGTGCGCATGATATTATACATTCGTTGCCTTCCCGCTAGCCCTTAGCCCTCTTCTTAGAAACCTTCTTCCCCTTCTTTGGGGCCGTATCCTCCTCCATCCGTGATACCATGGCCTTACTCGGAGCAGTATGGTTAAAAATCAAGTGCCAGGACATGACTGCGTTACAGGGCGATCCAAACCACCAACAGTCCGGGTTCGCATGGTCCTCCAACCAACAACTATTACAGGGGTGTACATCTGTTAAGGCAAAATTGGATCCGTTGTGTTCGAATGAAGCCCCGCTCAACTTCCAGAAGGAAGCGGCATCCGGGGGCGACATTCTGAACTTGATGCGCAATGCTCCTCTATCGCTATCCATCTATTAAGCTGTTTTTAGCATGGCTGCTAGTGTGATATTATAGGCCTTACTTCACGCTGTAACTCAATGATTTTTATTGGAGACGGCTTCGGTCCACTGGGCGAGTTGACCTGAAGCTTTTCCAAGTACTTCTCGAAGGCGGCGACTAGTCCGTCCTTGGTGTTAGGAAGTACAGGATATAGTGTTCTGATTCTTATCGTTGGAGGCTTCACGCGGGTCGGGAAGAAACATACCATGCAGCGGCGGAGGCTAGTGATCAGCATTACTTCGCTGACGCATTTCTGCGCCTGGTCCGTGTTGTCAAGTACCCAAGCTATCCATTTCTTACCGGGGACAATGTCGTACCGGCGACCCCGAGTTTCCCCGTTCGTCGCTTTCCAGACTGCACTCCCGATAAAATGATCTTTGGATGGGCTGAATATCCCGCTCATGACGACTATTACCATCGTCTGAGTCAGTAATGCATCTCTCTTCGCCTCAATTTTTAACCAGGGCTTAAGAGCCCCCGGGATGTTATCGAGGAAGGGTGGAGGGGGCGGTCGCTGTCCATTCAAGTTCATCTGCTTCAGTTCTGCCCAGCTAGTCCAGCTGTTATCCAACAGGTTTCCAACGGGGGATGATCCACTAGAGCCTGACGGTAGTCCCTTAACAGCCGTTTCAGCCGTCAAAGTCCATACCGCTTCTCCTTCATCCACATCTTCATCCTCTTCCAAAGTCAAAGCTTTGAAAGCCCCCGTTGGTGGCACCTCTTCCTCCTCCTCCCGATGCCCTTCGGGAGGTTCTGGACTAGTACTCGGTGACAGCCTTAAGTCACTTCCTATATCCACCTCTTCCTCGTCAACACGCATCGCCTTTTGCTTCCCTTTGTTCTTTGCGGAACTCCGGGCATCTGCATGCACCTCGATGTTTGAAGCATCACCTTCTAACATCTCGATGTCTTCCCTCATTTGAATCGCTACGGGCTTCGGGGACTGCTGATGAGCCCCCGTCGCTTTTTTCGCTCCCTTTTTCGGAGAGGAGGAGTTAGCGCGTTTGCGCTTTTTTGTTTCTATACCACCATTAGAAACAATTCACGGGCAGTTACTCCAGTACTAACCAACGGGCTGGCCCGCAGGAATTCCTTCCTTCTCTGCCTTTCTCTCCTTCTTCTTCGAACCCTTGACCATTATATTCTTTTAACAGACATTAGCTCGCATCACTCTACGGGCTCGTCCCACTCACTAAAGAGCAGGTCGCGCTCTGCGATACAGTTGCTTAAAGTCTTGTTGTGTTTTTGTGATAACGCTTTTATAATCCAATCAATGTGCCGCTTTTGTTACCCAGCGGTTCTAAGACTCACAGTGGGTAGTTCGATAGGCCACTAGATTTTTAACGCACACACTCGGGGGGGCCACAGGGGCACCCTAGGTTGAACATGTGGCATTAACAACTAGCTACTCTTACATGTCCTCTAGAATCGACCCAATGTCTGTACTAGAATATTCCCTCACCGGCTGGGCTTACACGGTGTCCGAGCACTAGCTCAGGTTCAGAGCAGCTTTTAGGCTGCCCTCCCTTTCCCTTGCGGTACTCGAGAAGCGTTCAATGTGGTGTTCAAATCCACTTTGAAGGAGTTCCTTCGTTCAAGTGCCTCATCTATAGTACTACTTTGCGGACCTCTTAGTCCAGCAGTTCAATACCCATAGTCTTGTTGCACCATTCTGATCTCACTTCCTTCAAATTCAAACTGGCTTTTCTACCAGCAATGCGTCCTGCAACCTTTCGGTGCGTACTAGACATTGCTGCCTACTAGTCCAGCTTGCTTCCTCGTGTCGCGTTCATTACTTTGTTGTACTAGCCATCTTTAGGTTTTCCTTTCACTACTAGCGACACTCGGGCAACTGCCTGCCTCGTACATTACTCTCAGAAAGCATTCTCGAGCAGAGTTTACCTCTCTCTTACTGCCTTTCCTTTCATCACTTAAAGCCAACATGCACCTGTGGATTAGTCCGGTGTTAACCGAGTAAGCCCTCGCGCGACAACAACGCTCCACATAGCTGGGTATCTTCAAGGCTTTCGCCTTTCCTCCCTGCGAGGGGTATCTGATCGTTTTCGATCCCCTAACCTTCGTTCTTGATTAATGAAAACATCCTTGGCAAATGCTTTCGCAGTAGTTAGTCTTCAGTCAATCCAAGAATTTCACCTCTAGCGACTGAATACTAATGCCCCCAACTGTCCCTATCAATCATTACGGCGACTCTAGAAACCAACAAAATAGAACCGCGCGTCCTATTCTATTATTCCATGCTAATGTATTCCGGCATAAGCCTGCTTTGAACACTCTAATTTTCTCAAGGTAAAAGTCCTGGTTCCCCACCACACCCAGCGAAGGGCATGACGGCTCACCAAGAGGTAAGAACCAGCCAGACAGTACGTACCGTGAGGCAGACCGCCCGGCCGGCTCTGAAATTCAACTACGAGCTTTTTAACTGCAACAACTTTAATATACGCTCTTGGAGCTGGAATTACCGCGGCTGCTGGCACCAGACTTGCCCTCCAATCGTTCCTCGTTAAGAGATTTAAATTGTACTCATTCCAATTATGAGACCCAAAAGAGCCCCATATTGTTATTTATTGTCACTACCTCCCCGTGTCGGGATTGGGTAATTTGCGCGCCTGCTGCCTTCCTTGGATGTGGTAGCCGTTTCTCAGGCTCCCTCTCCGGAATCGAACCCTTATTCCCCGTTACCCGTTGAAACCATGGTAGGCCTCTATCCTACCATCGAAAGTTGATAGGGCAGATATTTGAATGAACCATCGCCGGCGCAAGGCCATGCGATTCGACAAGTTATTATGAATCACCAAACGAGCGGCGAACCGCGTTGGTTTTTTATCTAATAAATACACCCCTCCCAGAAGTCGGGGCTTCGTTGCATGTATTAGCTCTAGAATTACCACAGTTGTCCATGTAGCAAGGTACCATCAAATAAACTATAACTGATTTAATGAGCCATTCGCAGTTTCACTGTACAAACTTGTTTATACTTGGACATGCATGGCTTAATCTTTGAGACAAGCATATGACTACTGGCAGGATCAACCAGGTAACTACTGTCCCAACCCCCGCACTAGGTGCGGAGTGACCACCTTACTAGCACCGCAGCGCTTTCAGACGGCTGGTGTTCGTTGCCAGGCCTTCAAAGCCTTTCCCACATTCAATTGACCGAACAAGGCAGACCGCCGCGTTCAGCCCGAAGGCCTACTAGACTCGCGTTCACCCAGTTCTAAGCCCCCTTGTTTCCCGATCCCACATGCTTCAGATCAAGCTCTCACAGTCTTTTTCACGGACTGCAATCACGACCTTCAATGAGGACTACCAGCAACCAGCGTCACCTAAAAGGTGCGCACAGTCACGGCGTATCCCCGAGTGGATGCTTGCAAACGGGTTTAGCCATCGGCAATTAATCCACATCCTTCAACCTCGCAGGCCTTCGTCGCAAAAGGACGATACCCGACTTGTTGAGACGCTAACGATCCCCACCCTCAGCATATTCTCGACAGTCTCTTCCTCGAGCCAGTTCATCTTGCAGAGCAAGCGCATCTATGGCTCGGTATAGAGACCGTCAGCCTTCCCACACTTTTAAAAAGCCTACTGAGCTTGCGCCGTTCAGCTTTTAAACCGATTCCCCGTGCTCTTTCAGATTTTACTTGGACTCCCTTGTTCGGCTCCCGAGGGCTTACTACCCCGACTAGCAAGTTCACAAGCTTTCGCTCTCCCTTACTACCCGGTTGGTATCCGTTCAGTTCTTACTAGGCCGTTGTTATCGTTCGGCCACCGTACTCTGAGATCCCACTGCGCGTTCAATGAGCATCAATCTGTTCCCACTCACACTAACGTTCGGTGTACTAAGAAAGCCCTTTTCCGCACCCGAAGGCTTACTGGAGGCTTTCAAAAACCCTACTTGCTCAGGCTCCTACTAGGATCGACACTCACGCGCACTAGGACCCCCACATTCGGGCACCTACTAGATTCGTTCAGTCCAACTCGGAGAATCCCTAGCCCGCACGCTGCGAGGATCACCCGTTCAAGCACCTTGACGTTCGGCGTACTAAGCACGTCTACAACAGACCACCTTAGACCCTACTTGCCCAGTCCTACTAGGAGATTCAACCCGTCACGGCCTTCAACCCGTTCAAGCACGTTGACGTTCGGTGTACTGAGAGCGTCCTTTTCGGCGCCCGAAGGCTTACTGGAGACTTTCAAAGACCCTACTTGCCCAGTCTACTAGAAGTTGAAACCCGCTTTCCACATGCGCAACTAGCACTCAATCCTTTCAGGACTTACTAGAGCCATAAGGTACTCCCTTACCGGACAGCACATACTCAGCTCTCGCTTTTCTGCCCGCTGCCTTTCAGCTTTCCCTCATGTAGTAGGCAAGAGCATCTGGGTGGCTGTGCGTGGGCGCGTCCCACATGAGGCGTGAAAAGTGGTGTCCACAATATCGCGTTTTGGCACAGCCACAGCCTGCGCACCCAAAATTAACGTCCCAGAAACTGTCCCCAACCCCCAGAGGCCTGCTGGAGTGACCCAAAACAATGGCAGAAGAAGCAAATCAACCCATTGGTACAACTACCATGCCCACAGCTTCATCCATTGTTGGCTAGGATGCTGATTGGTGAGCATCATGCCATTTGCCATGCCTATGCACTTTGTGAAACTCATCCTAGCACACCCCATAAGCCCCCAATACCTGCACTAGATCATCTGTGCACCACTCCTTGTATTTCTGATGATGTGCATTGGTCTCTGAGTGCAAATCTGGTGTCATTGGAGCACAATTTCAATTCTTCTCAGAATGCTGTTTCTTTCTGTCCTCTGGGTTTCACCACAGCCAACTGTGATCCACATTGAAGGCCCAGCTCATTTAATGCTTGCAGTCTGCTGAAATCCTGATTCTCTGGGCTGAATGCTCAAATATGAAAAGTGGCTGACATTTCAATTCAGAGCAACCGATGACTGCTTCAAGACCCACTGACTGGGCTGCAGTCTACATTGCAGGCCCAGCTGATTGAATCCCCACACTCTTTGGCTCTCTGCCCAAATTCTCATTCTCTGCTCAAACTTTAAAACTGACTGACATTTCAATTCAGAGCAACCAATGACTGCTCCAAGGCCCACTCACTGGGGCTGATGATCCCTGCAGTTCAATCAAATCTGAATCAGTCAAAGTCTGTTCTGGACCCACATTTCAATCTCTGCTACACCTCAATTGGGCTGATCTAACAGGTGCCTGTTATCAACCACTGACTGGTTGCAATCTAAACTAGAGCCTGACAGATGATTCAATTTGGAATCCTGCAGTTGAATCAAACCTGAATCACCCACAGTCTGTTCTGAACTGCACCTACAACATTCTCCAAGTGTGAATTGGATCCTGAGTGGCAATCTTCAATCCCTGCTCTGATCTGGGACTGCAGTGAAAGCCCAGCTGATTGGATCCTTACAGTCATCAGCTTTGGCTCTCTGATTCAAATCAGGGGAGGATGATCAAACCAGAGGCTGACCATTCTGAATGCTGAGTGGCTGACATTCAAGGTTGGAGGCTGACTGGTTGCTCAATTCAAGCTGGACTGGGGCCTGACAATTTGCTTTCAGTCTGAGGATTCAATTTGGGATCCTGCAGTTCAATCAAACCTGGGCTGAGATTTCAATCTGTGCCACAGTTCAATTAGGAGAGGTGGCTGGTTGAAGCCTTAACCCCAAGCTAGAGGCTGATGCAGTTCAATCAAATTTGAATCAACCTGTCTGTTTGCACTTGACTCAAGGGGCTGACATTTGAACTCAGAGTGTGTGAGGATTGGGAGTGTGGGTGAGGATCAGAGTGTGAGGATTGTGAGAGGGACTAGTGACTGAGTATTAGACAGTGTTAGGACTAGTAACTTGGTGATAGACAGCGTTAGGACTAGTAAGTAAGTGTTAGAGATCGTTAGGACTAGTAAGCAAGTGTTAGAGAGTGTTAGGACTAATGACTGAGTGTTAGACAGTGTTAGGACTAGTAACTGAGTGATAGAGAGTGTTAGGATTAGTGGGTGAGTGTTAGACAGTGTTAGGACTAATGACTGAGTGTTAGACAGCGTTAGGACTAGTTGATAAGGATTGGGGAGTGTTAGGACTAGTAACTTAGTG